CATCGTCTCTAAAAAGCGCTTCATTTACTTTATATTACTTCCCTTGCAATATCACAATCTTTATCTACTTGGCGCTACTATACTATGGATACCTTACCCACCTCGCCAGTGTGGTCTGCCGATGATCTTATGCCTTTTATATAATATCGGCTGTGATCTTTATCAGAATATTGCTTTGGCCATTCCGGAGACTACCGCAAGCCCCATGATCGATGTTTTCCACTGGCATGAGCAATTGGAATCAAAATAATTTTACGTCCGCAACATCTCCCAAAAAGCTTTATCTCCCTGCAAGTGTTCTACTTACCTGCAATAGTTCTTCCTCTTGGACCTGTCTGCGAATCCCACCCGGCCCGTGGGTTATCTGCTTGGACGATTATACTACGTATGAAATATCCGACCCTCATTACTCTGAGGTTCTTGCTCACCTATAAAACTGCATCTTAATCTACATAGCCCTATTCCTTCCAGTACCGCCGGTTCCAACCGTTAATGGTGTATCCTGACTAAATCTCGCACAGCCAATGGAAAATGGGTGCACCATGACTGTGATTAGCCGTACGAAAAACCGATCGTAACGTTGCGTTGCCACTGACGTATTGCTATTCAACTTGTGGTCAAAGGCAATGTTTCAAGAAGTGGTGGGTTTTCGCCTGGCAAGTATTCTTTCTATAAAAAGCCACACATGTCTGATTAAAAACACTGCAACGTGGCGGATGTGAGTCGCCACCAAAATAACATCACTGCCCAACGCTAAACACTGACAAGATCCCGAGAACTGCAACCCGTGAACATAATGGCAAATGAATCCAAATCTTACCCATTCGTCAGGGTTTTTCAACCATTCTATCGGGTTCATACGCACTCGGAATAATAGAGATCAATCTCCTGAACTACTCGAAATAAAACCCAGCATTTTTGTAACGGAAACAATTATAGATTTTACATTGATTCTGTGCCACAGATCTACCTGACTGCAATGGGCATGCCCATTATCCTTGCAACTTTCCTATATAACAACTACGTACCATTTATTCAACCGTGTATTTCGCGAACACTTATCTATATAGTATGGTGTATATACGCTCAGTTTGTTTCTGTGGCTCTGACAATCACTTGATCATGCCTGTATTGGTGTGTCTCGTTTCATCGATAATGATACTATTTATTTATTTTACTCTTAAGCAACAGGATTTTAGTTGTAATTTTGTTAACGTTTCCATCCCAGTAGTTCACAAGCTACATAGCCTCTCCTAGTTTCAGAATACTACGGAAATAGCGTCTAGCGAGAGCACGTCATCATCTCGCAGGCTCACCACTGTCAGTCACACTGGAAGATAGGTGGTGCTATATCCCAGTTAGTTTGCAAATTATCTAGCCCAGCCAACGTTCCCCATGGTTCAATGTCTTAAGCTGCTGGCTAGTTGGCATCTGGCTCTAGTGATCATGGATTCGATACTCCTTAGAGGACCGAAGGAATGCGCACAACTGAAGAGCCCCAATAAGGCTAAACGCGTTTGGTATTTGTTTATCACCTTCGCTCTTTCGCTCAGTAACGTGCACAACCCCATCAGTAAGTTGACATTACCTTTGACTCCATTGCATACTGCGACAGCTACAATCTCCTAGATCTAAATTTCCCCATCACCGTCAACAAAGTGTGTTGGGCAGGTCAAATTCATCCGGAATGGTCGCTGCACCAATGTAGCAAGCACGAAGCAGCAAGAACGCACAAACCTTATTACACGCAGCCACAATTAAATCAAGGTCTTATGCACTCAGGCATCTATCGGTCAAGTTTTGGTCCCACAACACAACCTGCATGGGAAAATACTACACATGTCACATACGTGCGTCGTTTCTTTCCAAATCGGTGGGGAGCTAGGTTGCCTGTTTCAGCCCGTCTCTTCACTTCCGTAAATCGTATTCTGACTAACCTGGACTTGTTCTAAGGCTCTTGGTTGCGTTATTCGGCTTGGTGTTACTCCTGGACGTACCGATAAGGGCATTCCTGTCCAATTTATTTGCCTTGCGACCAATGGCTTCTCGGTTTTCCTTGCTTCTGGCCTGTCACCATGCGTCGCTCGCGATCCGCTCTCCGACCGCTCTCTAAGGATTGCGTTGTGCTGACTGAGCTCGTCCATGATCCCTCTTGCTGTTTAATTAAATGAATAAGTATTTCTTCTCTACACTGCGAGGCACGCTTGTGTGGAATGATCACGCTAATGCTGTTATGTACGGTACAGCGGTTATATTCTAGTCGGGGGAACATGTTACTTGAAATGAGTCAGTTGCGGGAGCACTTGAGGCCAAATGAAGTGGGAAAGCATTGTTCTGGTGAAAATGGTCATGTGGAGAGCTCATCGATAAATCTTTTACAAATCGATAGAAAAGGACCAAATGACAAATTGTAAACCAATTGTTGCAAGGAATAGAATGCTTTGTGATTATCGAGCACAAATGGAATAGTATTGCTCGGGGAGTGTGAGCTGCGATAAATTTCATATCTTGATTCCTAATAGTAAAATGCTTCTGCCGCCATTGTTCGTCTTACAAAGATGCTATGTAGCCAATGCAGGTAAAACTAATGTAGTTAGCTTTCTCTCACTTGCTAGGGGTGACGCATCCCGAGAGCGCTTATTACTTTTCTTTTGATAATCGCAGTCACCAAGTGCGCCCAGAGTTATTGTGGTAGATAACCGATTGTTGGCATGCCCAGTAAATAGAGAGCAAGAACTTCTTTCGTGGTTCAGACATACCTTCAGTGTTCGGAATCCATCGAGAAACTATTGACAAGATTGTGTAAAAAGAGTGTGCTTGAGCTTTCTAATGCATTGAACATCCCGGTTCGAGAAATCCACGTTAATGTATTGGGTCCGCAAACAGTTTTAACCCATTGACGAAATGGGCATTTCATGTACGTCAGTGGAAACCCAGAATGAGGGGGAATAGTTGATCTCCGCAAGGAAATCATGTCCATGGGAAAGCTATAATGATGCATCCCGAGAACGTATATGTAACAGGGGCGCTTGAGATTATTCAGCACTGTTAAGGTGAGGAACTGCGCACGACGATTTAAAGGCACGTAGAATGCCAACAGTTACTGGTTTCATGGGGAGGGCAAAGTAGAACCCAATAGTTCATATCCAAAGGAAAAGGAATCCGATAAAGCAATATTTCCAGCAGGATGTGTTAGAACATCGGCACGTAAGTCGCATCAATTAAGTTAATCGTTCGGTACACAGATTGGTGCGATGATTGGATTTTCCAAGTAAGTAATGATAACCTTTTATAGTAGGTCATACACTACAATACACGGTAGAGAACCGTACAGGTCTTCCAGTTGATAGTTTATTTCCGCGCTACTACATTAGTGAAGTACAAGGTACGATGTGGGCGAACCACTAACTTACGCGGGATGCTGATACCTTTATGGCTTTGCTCCCCTCCCGAAAATTAAGAAGATGAATCTAATGGTACATTATACCTTGACATCTTAGTATCTGACCGTGTAATCATCAAGTTGTTATGATTTCAACAATTTGATTGAAGCTGTGATGTCAGAGGTGGTAGTCAGTTTCAGTCGTTTGAGTAACGAGTCCTCACGAAGCTTCTGTCTCACTGGAAAAATTCTGCTAAGGAAATTCACAATGAGATGCAACAAACACTGTGGGATAAGATGGCCTCCTATAACACCGTCAAAACCTGGATATTTTGCGTTAAAGCTGGTCATTTCTACATACAATATGAGCCCTTCCGTGGGCTTTTTCATACCTCCACTCCCCCAACAACGTGCAAAGGCATCAGCAGTACGCAGGTCCGCAGTACCGACGCTTCGCTGCGGCGCAGCCACTAACCGTCACATGTGAGCTGAGGATACTGCGAAGGTCGCACAGTCCCCTACGCACACTCGTACTCCCGTTCTCGGATTGCAAGGCACTTTTTGTGATCCTTAAAGCTACGGGCTGGCTGGGCTGTACATGGATGATCGACGAACCTCCACTAAAATGATTGCCCAGATGTTGGATTCAATATCACTGCTATCCTGGATACAAGGAAGCTTTAAGGAAAATGGGTGCCTAAATGTTCGACATGTGATCACAAACAGAAAAGAGTTGTGGTTGCCAAATTAAAAACTACGCTTTTCCAATTAGTCCACAGGCTCCCTGCTTAACTGCTCTAGCCCAGTTAGACTAATGCCTCTTCCCGAACTTAAAGAAATACTTAAACTGGCGACGTTTGAAAGCCATTTCTGACATTAACCATGCTGCTGACTACTAGTTTGCGCACAACCAAATGACTTTTAGCTGAGCGGCCTAGAAAAATAGCAAAAATGTCGCACCAAATACATCAGGCATAGGATAAACATGTTGAATAAATTTGTCATTTCATAACTTTAGAAGTCTTCTTTCTGGCGAAAAGCAACAAGTTATCATACAACGTACAGAAACATTTAAACATCGAGCTTTGGGTACAAGGGTATCCTTCATTTCAAATGTAAAATACAAATAATTTCTAAACAATTTCACAGCATTGTTCTGCTTTTCACCTCTAGAGTTTTGTTCTGCACTCTTTCCTTAATTGCCAGGCTGCTATTCAAAGGTTGGTGACTTCTAGTTTGTGCCTGTACGGTTTCTGCACTTCTCAGCTATTGCAGACCACTTTACAGCAGAAACAACAAGATAAAAAGCTATTGTATGTGCAACATTTCCGCTTACTTTAAGTTATACGTTTGACCTGACTTGATCCAACTAATGGGTTGCTTTTACTTAAAAATGGAACAATACATCTGCGAATGTAAGCCGTTCTTCATTTAGAAGTTCAAGATGCTTTAAGTTTCAGCGAACAGACATCAAAAATTTGACGGGATGCAACAAAACACCCTTAGTGAAGCGTTTATCCTTTGGAGACTCTAAAATTCCTGCACTACAGAGTAATACAAGATACTAAACAATACGACTTGAAAGTGAAGCGAAGTTAACAAGAACTTGTCTTGTCACCGGGTCCAGTTTTAATGACTTTGTTGTTCCCTTGATACCCGACACGCTCCAATCTTTTGATTCCAAAGCACTCAGCGGTTGTCTTCGAAGGTGCCTGTGAGAAGGAAAATAATTATCGTACGCTTTCAGTTCTTCTTGTGACAGTTGTAGTCCATAGCTCACTCTGTGCACCCTGTCGTACTCCAACACCGCTAGTCTCCAGATGGCTTGCTGAATATCGTGCTGGTATACAAGGAATGAATGGAATACACGATCAAGTTGTTTTGTCATTGAACTGGTTCAACTATCCAATATTCCAAAACTGATGTATTCACTCAGACACGCACAAAAAGTAGGTACACGCGCGCTTAAAGCAACTCCTGGTTGCCGTCGGATACTGATTTAGATGACATTAAGAAACTAGGCCATAGTGGTGCCGAATGGGCCAGACGCCTCCTAGTTAATTATGGTCAACTTAAGTTTGGCTTGATGTTAACTGTTTCCATGGTGAAAGGCACAGACACGATTTTTGTATAAAAATTACTTATGAAATACCTGGCGTGGTTTTGTCACACGGTGCGTTCGTCGAAAACATAACTAACAAAGGAAAATCATTGGCGTTAACTGCCTTACAATGTGATCGAAAATCTTTACCACAGTTTTGGTACATTATATTTTCCAGTGTTGGTTTCCGGATTCCGGAAGGTGAAAGGCTACAGTGCTAGTGAACAAAAATATACGTCGAGTGGTTTTGTGTCACACAACACGTAAGTAGTAAAATGGAAAAATCAGACTTCACGTTAGACAAATGCAGCTCACAAATGACTCTGATCCAGTAAATATTAGCCTAGGCAACCCACAGAAGGAACAGTAGGTGAGTTTACACGTATGCAAATCAAACTGGTTAAGGTTAGGTATATGGTTTATACGTGGAAAACTGCTTCAGTGCAGCGTGACGGAATGCAGAGTCGTGGGCATAGGCCACCAGTCGCAATGTGCTTTCCATGAAAGCGACTTCATAGGAATCGTGTGAGATGACCTTGGCTGCTTGAAACAAGCTAGGTAGACATTTTACACTCTCACGTAGGGCTTTTGGAAAGTTCGAGACATTACTCTTTCTGCAAATTTTGGGCACCTTCGTGAGACCCCGCGTGGAATACGCGATCTAAGCTTTGCGTCCCTGGCGAAAACACGATATTGATGTACCTGAAGCTTTCAAACGTAGAGCGACAGAAATCATTCGGTGGGTGCTTCACCTCAGTACCAACGCAGCTCACAGACCGTGGGACTATACAGAGGCTGATATGGTGTTCAGTGAGGAGACGGCATGATAGTTAAGGTGATACTGACGAACCCAAAGCACGCCTGTCCCGACCTGTAGCAACCGAATCAAATTACTAGCATAAGAAGCCACCAGCGTAAATATGCCACGCACTACAGTCCACTAGATAACTGACGAAATGTTTGCTTCCTTCGAAAGTGCTAAACCTGAAACGCCTTTTCAACCCACGTCTTTTTCCCCCAACAATAAAATATTGCAATAAACGCCTTGACGACACCCTGTCCATTTACATTACGTGCTATAGTCCCTTTCACTCGGAGGACGAAACAACGTGAACCAAACTATGTGCTTAGCAAACCTCCCCGTAACGTAGCGGTAAAGAAACCTGTATCAGTGTTCACGTGAATAGATCGGTTCGTCACTTTGACTCCGAATTTACCCATCTTTCAATTTAATAAACAACCTTTGGTTTTATAATCATCATTCAAGGATTCCTACGGGAGTTATCAAACAGGTTCTTTTTACCCGTTATAACTCGTAGTTCGTTGTTTAAGAAATGCGCATTTGACGCTGGTGGGAATAAAACCTGTTATCGCTCGTTTTTGCTACTTTGTACGTAGAGCTGGTTTACACAATGAGTTAAACAATTCGTTGCCTGTTCCATACTGGAAGCACTCTTCAACACAAGCATCATCACGATAACTACACTCCTCATTTCAGTCTGGAATGAAGTTTGGGTTGCTGGACTACTTACGGTAAGAGAAGAGGATGGAGTCGAGGGAAACACGTCCGTTGTGTCAGACGTAGCAACTCTAAGAAACAATTTGCTATCGTTTGGCTGCGATTCAATTATCTCGAAGAAAAGTAACATTAGACGAGTTGGTTATGACACCGAAATGGCAAACAAGTCCATGTAAAGCAAAATGAATTCAGCCTACCCATCTCGGCCACTTTGCATACCTAGATGATTCAAGTAGCCTTAGATTCACCGTCAAATTTCGATCACTTCAACCTAAAAACTGCGTTTTAATTGCATTGCGGTTTGAATTGCATTGGTTTTATCGGGCTGCATTGTAAGAAAGAAAACATAAATTACTGTGTGTCAAATTGTTGTGCACGTCAGCTGACGATGTCACCCACTAAGTTAGTGAGTTTGATAAAAACGCAGCGTTGTTGCCATTTGCAACGAATACCAAATCCATAATGGGAATTCGTGAGTCAAATATGGGCTCCGTGAGACTGGGTCAGTGAAGTGGGTTTTATAACTTGGGTACTAAGCGACACCAGATAGCTAGGTAGCATGGGTCGGAAATGTGTTTTGGCCATGGTATCCACGTACATACCAACTACTCAA